CCCCAAAACCCCAAAACCCCAAAACCCCAAAACCCCAAAACCCCAATTATTTAATAAATTATTGAAAGGATTTCTTAAAATTGGAATGTGAGCCTTCATGAAAAAGAAATCTGGCAACCAGAAGTGCCAGAAGTGAGGCAAGAGAGGCCATTGGACTTATGAGTGTACTAATGAACGTCAGTATCTCTACAGAGCTTCCAGGACTGAGATGCTGAAAAATCCAGAACTCAAGCCTGACTATGATTTTGAAAAACCTCCTAAAGGGCCAAAAAGAACTGATTGGGACTACAGAAGAGGTGTTCCCAAGAGTTCATCTTCTGAATCAGGAAGTAGAAGCTCATCATCTTCTTCCTCAGATGTTGAGCTTACAGAAAAGGATAAAAGAAAATTAATGAAAATGGCAGCAGAAGGAAAAATGTCTCTTAGTTCAAATAGTTCAAGCTCCTCGTCTCGCTCTTCCAGCAGTTCGTCTAGCTCATCTTCACAAAGCGAAGATAAAAAGAAGAGAAAGAAGAGGAGCAATAAAAAGAGGAAGAAATCTAAAAGATCCAAGAAAAGGAGAAAATCTTCAAGTGGCTCAAGAAGCTCAGTAAGCAATGAGTCAGATATTAGTCATAAAAAGAATAAATCTAGACCTGTAAAATCAAAATCTCCGATCTCTCAGAGATCGAAGGGTTCAAGGTCAATATCTCCTGTAAAATCTCCTGTGAAATCTCCTGTAAAATCTCCTGTAAAATCTCCTGTGAAGTCTCCTGTAAAATCTCCTGTGAAGTCTCCTGTAAAATCTCCTGTAAACTCCCCTGTGAAATCCCCTCTTAACTCGCCTAAAGAGAATAAGAAATTGGATAAACCCCTTGAAAGGAAGTCTCCAGAGAAGGTCCAAAATCCTGAAGAGAGCAAGGCTCCAAATAGAAGTCCATCAAGATCTTCAAGAAGTAGTCACAGAAGTGGTTCTTCTTCTAGTGACATAGAAGTAGCAGATTCAAAAGAAGATAAGAAGTCTGAAAGGTCAAGGAAATCTTCAAAATCGTCCAGATCTGCCAAGTCTAGAAGTCTGAGTAGTAGGAGTAGAAGTAGTGATAGAAAACATCGCCGTAGAAGAAGAGATTCCAGAGATCGCGACACAAAAGTAAGTTGTTTCTAATCCCCATAGAGGAGAGATGACTCTTATAACAGAAGGGGTGACTCTTACGATAGAAGAAGAGACAGAAGAGATTATCATAGAAGAGATAGAAGGGACAGCAGAGATCGCAGAGACCGTAGAGATTATAGAAGAGACCGCAGAACCCCAAAACCCCAAAACCCCAAAACCCCTTTAAAATAGCAAATATTGAAAGTGCCTGACTTTATATTTCGTTATCGTTCAATTTATCTTCATACATTCTATCATTGTCGTCTCCGAACTCAGCACTTGATATGACTTTTATGGTCCTTTGTTCTATAGTTCCTTTTTCTGGTTGATTTGCTTGGGTGTGCTCACTGCTATCTTTTTCCTTCTCTTCATCAGATTCAATACAAGAAACGACATTAAATTTATCAGAGCTCTCTGTACTGCAAGATGCCGATGGCTGACTTATCTTCTTAGGAGCAAACTTCTTTTTAATGACCCTCCCTTGGTATTTGCTCCTATCAGGCTTTATCTTTTTGACAATTTTAGGCTTTTCTGGTTTTACCTTCTTTGGCTTAGGTTCTTTAATCTTCTTCTCTTTTGGCTTCGACTTTTTAGCAGGTTTCCTTTCTTTCTTGGCTTTAGCAGCTCCTTTTTGGACTGAGTCCTTCTTGCCACTCTTATGATTCCCCTTCTCATCAAAGTTTTTAACGTTTTGACTACTTTTATCTTCCTTTTTCTTCGATTTTGAACTAGTTTTAGACATCAGTCTGTTCTTACTAGATATTCTTGGATTGCTCTGGTTAAGAATATCATCAACCATGACGTTATGGTTCTCCATAGAGACGCATTTCTGGAGTTCAGCTATATTGACCTCATCCTTCAAGTCCTCTGTGACTTTCTCAATAGAGGTGTCTACTTCAATAGATTTCCTATCTACCTTGGATTTATTTTCTCTGGATTTTGGAATTTTACTCTGTTCTTTCTTCTTAGTTCTTTCCTTGGATTTTGATGAGGCTTTCTTCTTCTGATCTGGGCTAATATCCCGCTTTTTCTTGCCATCCTTGTCACCTTTCTTCTCTGATTTAGTTTGTTGACTTTGTAATTTATCTTTTTTAATTTTAGATGAATCAGACTTCTTTGATTCCTCCTTTGAATCAATAATAGTACCTGTTTTGTTCTCGCCTGCTTCAGTCTGTAGATTTTCATCCTTTTCAGAGACTTTTTCAGAAACTTCAGGATTTTCAGAAGAGAGTTTCTGGAATTCTCTCCATCTCTCTTTCTGCAGTCTCTTCTTTTCGATAATCTTTCTTTCGTATTTTTGGGAAATACTATTCAAAGAGGAAATGAACGATGAGCCGGGATTGTAATGTGTACATAGGAATCGATTATAACCATTGTTCCCTATAGACTGTCTTTCCAAAGATTCCTTGAGGCTGGACCTCGCAAAAGAAGCTCTCATGTATCTAAGCTCTTGTAATTCCTTCTGAAACTTCAAGGCTTGGGAGATTGCTTTCTGTTCAAATAGAGGATCATCTTTTTGTTCTCCAGATTGTTCTTCGAAATCTTGCTTTTCATCTACCTTTATTCTTTTGTTTTTAGTGAATCTATGCTTTTCAGAGGTGTTAATCTTTTTCTGTTTGGACTTAATAACAGCATTTATGCTTCCTTTCTCTACAACTTGGGTGAGATCATTCATTGTCATATCTTCAAATAAAATGTCAATATCGCGTCTTCCTTCTACCTCTCTCGGGTGTCTGATTGAGTGTGAAGGCTTTCTCTTATCAATAAATTTCTTTTGAGGCTTCTTCAGACCCATCGTGTTTATTGAGCTTGAGCAATATTTCATAGTGGAATAGATGCTAATTATTTTCTGGTTTCCCTTCGTGATTTATATCATGATTCATAACTTCACTATTTTTGGTACCTAATTTAGCTTGTTTATGTCTCTCAGTTCCTATAAGTTCATATCTGATCCTGTGTGATTCAAGGAGTTCTCTTTTGTAGCATTAGTCCTGATAGCAGTGGAGGTCTTAGTCATGTTGTTTAGGCGATCACTCATTTCTTTATCATTGCTTAATAACATTTTTACACTATTTAAAATAATTAATTTAGTTCAAAGATTGGCATGATTTCAGGGGTTTTGGGGTTTTGGGGTTTTGGGGTTTTGGGGTTTTGGGG